TGTACAGTAGATCTATTAGGCTATCACACACAGGTAATTATGATAATTGTTAATCCAAGGCAGGTAATTATGATAATTGTTAATCCAAGGCAGGTAATTATGATAATTGTTAATCCAAGGCAGGTAATTATGATAATTGTTAATCCAAGGCAGGTCATTATGATAATTGTTAATCCAAGGCAGGTCATTATGATAATTGTTAATCCAAGGCAGGTAATAATGATGGTTGTTACCAATTAAATATTAAGTACTGTATACAAAGGTAAACTGATTTTAAGAACTAACTGATCTGTGTTATTTTTTTTGAAAATCAAAAAACCATGAAAGGGGCCAATGTTTTCTTATTTCAATTACTCTCACTTTCTTTTGTTGACCTGCTGATACTCCTCTGTATTTTTTTCACCTGTCTCTAGCCATTCTCAGGTCAACTGGCCACTGTAAGTTAATGCCTATGGGTAGAGAGAGTTGAGGGAATTAAGCTTGATGGGGAAAAGCTTTTACAAGATGATATAAAAAGGTGGCAAGTTTGTGTATGTGTGTCTGCAAATCCTTACTCTTCCTAAACAAAGAAATTTATGTACCTTCATTTGCTGCTGATTTTTTTTGCTTTGTAGAAGGGAAATCCAGTGTTAAAACACATCAGGAATGTTCCATGGGAGATTGGGGATATTATTCCAGATTACTTGCTGGGTCCTTCAACTTGTGCTTTGTTTCTAAGGTATGAACTAATGTCAACTTAATTGTCACTTTCATGTGCTGTTGCTTTCCCCTTTTTGAAGAAGTATTAAGAAAAATGCCAGGTAAGATGACTCTGCATTTATGGTAGACAGGAAGTTAAACAAAATGTATGTTTTGTAGAAAGGGGGTTCGTTTCTAAAGAAACTGTGGTGCTGCATCAGTGGAGGTAACAAGGTAATTTGGTTGTATCAACTAAGTTGAAGTAGTAAACTGGCCACCATAATGCTAACGTTTGAAACATCAGCTTTTTGACTTTTTGTGGTGGCCAATTTACAATTTCAACTTAGTTGTCAGAACCAAATTACCTTATATGTATTGTAGCCCTGGCATCCAGGTCTGGCTTTTAATGAGAATCATGCAATGACAAGGTTTACAGTTGATGATAACCCTTAATAGTTATGCAACATATTACCTTTGGTTGTAACAGGGTCAGTTTCACTACATCATTGATTTGTATCTGCCTCAGCTTTGCAAAAGGTTTGTAATTGACCTTTAGTTTTTTAATATAATCCGGCCTGCATTTTGTTAAGTTTAAGGTATCATCACTTCAACCCAGAGTACATCCATGAGAGACTGAAACTCCTTGGACAGCGATATGAACTTAGAATACTTCTTGTTCAAGTTGATGTGGTAAGTATTTACAGAACCTAATGGTAATAAACCCTTAATGTCTTCTCCTGTAAAAAGATTTGTTTTGTTTTCTTGAAAGAAATTAAAGGAAAAAGTAATTGAAACAATTGCTATAATACATTTGTACTTGATTTGCATGTTATATGTACCCTACTTAGTGCAGTTGGATAAGGTTGTCTATAGCTAGTGGTGAAAAAGTTGAGTTATTTTCAATTGTCATTGTTTCAAAACAATAGATATTTTTCAAGAAAAATGTAGGCAGTGAAAGAGTACATCACATTAGTTTAGTTATTAATAAGAGTTATCATTTTTAGAAATTGCATTTTCTTTTTTTAGAAAGATCCTCACCAGACTATAAGGGAGCTTTCTAAAATGGCAATAATGGCTGACTGTACTCTTATGCTTGCATGGAGGTACAACTCTACACCACATATTGTTGCATACGTATGATGCACGATCCTTGCAGTAGAGAGCGCTATTTATGCAACAGCGAAAATCAGACCTGAAAAAAAAAAGGCCTGATTTTCTTCTTCTTG